ACGCCTGCAACACTTAGTCGTGCTCAGCAAATATTAACTGCTTTAAAAACAAATAGTATTTTTTTTCCTTACAAAATACAAAAGAGAAAAACTGTCCTGCTGCTGTATCATCAGAGTCCAGAACAGTGCCCGGAACATAGTAGGTGCACAATAAATAGTTCTTATTGAATGAAATGAAAGAATATACGTATCACTTCTAGTGCCTGTAGAATGGGGATAAGTAAGAAAAATGGAAACTTTTTCATCCAATAGGCATCTCTTAGGGGAGCATGTTTACAAGAGTCATACTCTAAAATTTGGCAAGTTTAAAAACCAACTATAATGATCTCAGAAGAAAAGCATTTTAAATGGTTCCCCCATTTAAAAAGCACACTTAACCAACTTCTTTGAAACTGATCATTTATTACGAGTAGAAAAACTTGTTAAATTTTTAAAAGAAATAAAATACAAATTCATGATATCCTCAGTACCTCTTATTTTCAAGATTTTAAATTATAACTAAAAATTAATGCATATATTTGAACAAGTAATCAAGGAATGCAGTGTTCCATACTTAATCATTATATAACTAAACCAGATGAAGATACTTACTTTAAAATCAGGACATCTATTCCAAAGACATCTTTTTTAACCTTTAAAGACTAATATTAAACAATCCACAAAGAGAAGAATTAAAGCTTGAAAATCTAAGAGGCAAAAACATATTTTAATTAACGAGTTGCTGAATACAGTACCTTTAGATAATGATATAAGTTAAGGATAATCTCCAGATTGCAAATAAATATTGTTTAGTAATGAGAAATGCTATTTCAATATAAATAAAAATACTTTAAGGAACAAAATAACTTAAGCACTCTATTCCATTAAAGCACTTGAGATATATTCTCAATTCACAGTATTACCAATTGAAAAAGTAAAATAACAGTTGCCTCCTATATAAATAAGGATTCATCAAATGAGAGGTAATTTCACTTATTATATCTATTTTCTCCAAATGCTATAAATTTATACCTCTTCCTGGCTGGTATGGAATATCTCTTAAGACTATCTCCTTTGACATGGCTGGTTAATCACTTGGGGATAACGAAACACAAGGTTATATCCCTAGTGTGCACCAACATCAAAATACGTTGCGTGTAGATTCACGATTTGAATGTTTGAAAAATGAAATCATAAAATTATCCTAAGAAAACGTTTATGAATATTTATAAAATCTTGAGAAGAATTTCAAAACCAAAGGTGAACGACACAAGGCAAAGAGTGACAGACCATGATATAGAACATAAAAAATAAGCATTCTACTTAATTTTCATATATTCACATGTAACAAATCAAATGGTAGAGCTGAGCTTAGGATGATAAGCAGTAAGAAGACAATAATCACTCCCATGAAAAATGGACAAAGAATGAGGATAAATAAAAAGAAGGGCTAATAAATACATTTAAAAATTTCAACCTTTTTTCTAATAAAAAATGCAAATTAAAATAAGACCATTTTTGCATATCCAATTACCAGGAAAAAAAGAGATGCAACAGGGCAATATATATATAAAACTTTGTTCACATTTCAATACAGCAATATTTCTTTTAGGATTATCTTGAGTTTCTAGAATTATTAAAAAAAATCATAGATATGCAAAAAGATTTCGTTTTCCTCACAGCTTTGTTTATAATATTGCAAAATTGGAAATAATAGGAGTTGGTTAAATTATAACAGATTTAATACTGCAATATTTTATAGCCATTAAAATAACACTAGAAAATTAATAACACTGAAAAATGCCTGTAATACATTGTCAAGTTTTAAAAGCAGCTTACCAGTTTATCTATAATTTTATTTTTTTCAATAAATTACAGTTCACTTTCATTTGACGTGTTTTCCATAATGAAAGTGTATTTCTTTTCTAGTAAGAACTAAAATGTTTTTCTATAAAAACCACAAAAATTACATTACCTATCTCCTTTTTTCCTAATTCTATACTCCCCAACCAAACTCCTGGTTATGAATCGCTTTTTCCTAGATATTTCCATGACAGAAAAGGAGTGCCCTAAACTGGAAAAGTTAACATGCTGTAAATTGCAAAGTGCAACCTCTCATTATAGATTTCTAGTGATATACTATATAAAGCCTAGAAAGAAAATTAGAAGACATTAAAAGATGGAAACAAAATAGTTGAAAGGAAAGAAAAAAATGATAGGAATAAAGTATGTAAGTCAGGTGTAAACAAAGCTAAGGTATGGTCAGATATGTTTGTGAACCCTTTGTAAAAATGGGAGTCCTGAAGAGGAAAAGTAGTAAGACGGTGATTGTCACTGCAGGGAAGTATGGGCAAAGGATGCAGATTTACAAATCTACAAAAGAATACACATTAAAAAAAAGAGTTTAGCTTCTTTTCTAACTAAAAAAATACAAGCTCAAATAAACATGTCAAAAAGAACTTATTTTGAAATACAATATCCCAGACTGTCCACAGAGTAGGTAGCTTTCTATTGTCTGATTTAGTCCTCCAAGTCCATCCTACCCTAAATTCTCGCCTATGCTGGTTTGTCACAGTGCCTTCTTCTGAATTCATACACTTTTGGGGTAAGATCACATGTAAATGCCTACGTTACTATCAATGAACACACTCATGAACACGGGTTGTTTTGAGCAAAATCCTTAGCCAACAACTTAAATATTACAATTTTAGGTGCATTCTGATTGGGGGAAGAAATATTTAAAAGGGTCAAGGCCTTGGAGATACACTGGACAACCAGAGCTAGCCTGATGGCACTGGAAGCCAAGAAGGCGTACCAAAAGGAGGCAAGAGTTAATGCCAGTGTCAACTGAGCTATCAGGGCAAATTTATGTCATAATCCTGCATTCTGAAAATAAGTAATCGAAGTACATAACTGGAGCGTGCCAGGCACCATATTAAAAACTTGATATAGGGCCGGCCGAGTGGCTCAGTTGGTTAAGAGCTCGCGCAAGACTGAGAGCTCTGAGCAACAGCGGTTCGAGTCCCGGCCCGAGTTGAGCTGCCAACAGGTGTGGCAGGATGGCTCAGCTAAAAACAAACAAACAAACAAACAAACAAACAAACAAACAAAACCCCCCCCACAACTTTATATAAACTTTTATTTAATAGTTTTATAAAGGAAAATACTGTTATGGCTATTTTAAAGACAGTTCACTCTATACAGAAAAGTAAACCTGGATTTCCTACCTCACACCATAAATTCTACAAATTAAACATCTCATTGTGCAAGTACAACTTTGAAGAAAATATAAGAAAGTGTAGACTATTACTGTGACTTTGGGGCAGGACAGGACTTTTCCAGTTAAGATCCAAAACACAAACAATGAATCATGAAACTAATGGATTTGACAGCATAACACTAGAGATCCTTGTTCAACAAAGGATCTCACAAGTAAAATGTATAGATGGGTGATGGGCTGGGAAAAATTATTTGCAGCATCTAAAATACACAAGAGATAGATACCTAAAACATGGGTTTTCCACGAACAGTTAATTAGTCAATATTTTAGGTTTGGTGGGTCCCATGTTCCAACTGTTCCATTCTGCTGTTGTAGCACAAAAGCAGACAGAGACGACACATACATGAGTGAATGTGACTGTTCCAATAAAACCTTATTTACAGAAATAGGTGGTGAGCAGGATTTGGGCTGTAAGCTGTTGTTTGTCAACCCCTCATCTAGAACATACAAGAAATCCCTATGCACCAATAAGAAAAATTTAGGACACTCAATGGAAAACCAGACAAAGGATATCAATAAACCATAGACAGACTACAAAAGTCTAAATGGCTAAACAATGTCAGGAGCACTTCAGTAGGAAAAGTTGAGCAATAGTTAATAAGGGACAATTATTGAATATCCAGCAATCTTAAGCTAAATAAAACTAAGATATAGAGGTGTTTTTCTCTCTCTTTAATGCCAAATTATATTACACAATATACCTGCCTGGTAATTAAGAATTGCAACTTCCTTTAGCCAATTTTTTCTACCTCCACCCTGAGTATAATCTATTGTATCATTAGGTTCTGAAAAAGAGCCTTTCCTTTCATTGAATTCATTTGCCAAGGTCTGATAAAATATACAATGGATTATTGAAATTAGTATGGCCTAAACAGTTAAGACTACTTTGTAAATGCACTGATTAAAAAGGCTTGTCTCAAAGAAAGTATATCACGATTTACCTTAAAAATAAATTTGTTATCCAACTCTATTCCAGTGCTTAAAACCACTTCAGAGTTCAAATAGCAGTGAAATAACTGAAACATTTTCCTCCCCAGTCTTTCATTACATGTACATTTACTTAAAAGGTTAGATTGTACTAAAGTATATGTATAAAATTGTTTGATTGATCATTAGAAGAAAAATAGTTGACATTGAATTGCACATTTTAAACAGGGGAATTTTACGGCATTTAATTGTATCTCAATAAAGCTGCTAAAAAGAGGTGTTTTAGATAATCAGTCAACTAGTCTTGTGGCTCTTAAGTCTAATACAACAGGACTGGAGGCGAGGAGTGGAATGCAGCTAGTCAGTCAGGAGTTGGGCACATTTCCAGCCTATTTTATCTGGTCCTTAGTAAACTACAGGGGGGTGGGGAGGGTAACTCTGTGGACAAGGGAGGAAGCACTAGAATGAAAGGTCAAAAAGAACCAAATGTTATAGTTGAAACTTCTTTCACAAATTCCTAAAAACATAGACCAACTTAAAGAAGACTTCTGTCAGACACTAAGGAAAGGAAACATGATACTCCTTTTTCTTCATCCATAAACAGGCCATTTCCAAAACAGTAGCAAGAACAGGAATCTCATTTAAAAAAGATTTCTTTCTGTGGCCTGCAACAACTTTCACATACAGGTTGCTTGAGTGAAAACTGAAGGCTGCTTTTAGAATGAATTATTTAAAAACAACTAAGATCGTACTGTACGTAAAGGGAACAAACGTTGTTAAAAAGACAACACATAGATGATGATAAAACATAGAATGATGCTGGTACACATTTATTCTTTTATTGCTAAACACCAATGCCAGCAACTATGGTATCTTCAAGTTAAATCCTAAGAATGAATTACAGCACAGTCAAAAGATTTATAAAAAAAAAAATTCTGTGCACCATTAGTATATGGACATTCAATAAATACCATAGGACAAAATGATGACTGAGAGCCACATATCCATGAAGCACATTTACAATTTACGATTAGCACAATGACCTATAAGAGTGATTATCAAAGGGTCAAGTTTAACTGCATGTCTTTTCCAACTGAGATGCTGAAAAGAATATATACATTCTTTACAGATTGTAGGTGACTTAAAAAAAAATCCTCGAAAATGTAAACAATGCAGAGTAGGAACACTGAAAATAAAGTTTTATGGCTGAACAAAGTGACAACACAGAATGAATCCTTTCTTCAAATCCTCAAAAATAATTCATTTTTCTAATGGTTCTACAGAAACCAAAATGGATTATTTTCATAAAGATGATAATATACCAGGGACATACAGACCTTCTAAGCTATTTTTTTTTGTTAACATATATTTACAGTAAATATTCAATACATTTTTTATAGCTTACTTAAATAGAAACATGCTTTTCTAATCCATAAATACACTAATCACCCAGTCAACCACATTTATTAAGTATTTATGATGTCTCATGCACTGGGTCAGGGATGCAAAGATGAGTATGACCTGGCCCTCACTCTAGAAGTGCCCACAATCAAGCTGATGGGACCACATGTGCTATTTCTTTCCTTTCTCACACTATGAGGCCATTTCTATATACGGCACTGATCGGCTCAATACTCTAATAAAGTGGTCCCCAAATCCTGACCCTATGGAGAAACAGACCAAGGTGTTTAAAAGCTACAAGAAAATTATGTGTTGGGCTTTTATTTTTCCCACCCAAAAAAAGAAGTTAATGGCTAGGATTTCCTCTATTAATTTTCCCCTCACTTTTAAAAAAACTGACCTGTACATATACAACATTGTCATTAGTAAACTGGTTATGTAAACTATTCATGTAATCAAATTAATTATGTATTTCACGGCATTCCCCAAGTTCTACCTGAACAGATCTGAACCTCACTCTAATACACTTTGATCCTGAATGACTGCCTGCCTACAAATAGAACAAACGCCTTTTTCCTGGGATAAACCAATCGTTTGTATGGCTTTAGTAGTGGTAATAATTAATTACCTCGAGTCTTTAATGAAATATTAAAATTGTATTCAATTTCTGTTTAAGAAGGCAGGCAAATTTGTAACACAATCTAAAGTCTGTTAAAAATGATTAAAAAGTTTTAGTGCCTGAGCAGCAACTCAATGATCTGAAAAAGGTGAACCCCATGGAATACCTCATTTAGCGAAGAAGGTGGATAGATGACTGGTAATGTTCTTGAGTGTATGAGAGAAGCACGTATTTGTCATCAAAGAAAAGCACGCTCATAAGCTTCTAAGACCAATAGCTTCACAGTGGCCTGCTGACTTCCCAGATCTCCCAGGGCTGCATCTCCAGTCCAAAAGACCTCAAACTAGGCAGGGCCTTTTTGGGCACAGGAGTCAGTTCCCAGGCTCTGGCAAATCCACATGTGTACTCATATGCAGCCATTCTCACTGTACTACCAAGTCTTCTGTGGACTCACCGAGGTAGCTTAGGGGAAAGATGGAAAGCAAGGACTTGATGCTTTATTACTCAACAGAGAAACATGGGAGCCACTGGTGAGGACCGTGTATGGTTCAGGGTTTAAGGTAGTTGCTTCTTGAAGACAGGAACCCAGGAGCTAGGGCCCGGATCGCCCCAGCAGCACAGGAGAAAATGTCTACCCTGGAAGGGTTCCAAGCTTCAAAGGTCTGTAGAGAATGGTCACCAGGACTGCAGAGGTCCTGGGGTATGTCTTGTGACGTGTTGGAAGACCCAGCTCAGTTTTGAGGTTTATCCCTATCTGCCTGAGCTCACATGCTGCATGTGGGACACTTCCTGCAGCTCACTCTAAATGTCAAGGCTATAGGTGCTACTTTATGAGGATATGGGGACACATTAACAAAGAGGTAACTCTTGTGGGCGATACATGTCTCAAGATATTGGAGGCCTACTTCCTACTTTGTTCACTTATTTGGCATCGTTTGACAAAGATTTTTCCCTTTCGTGTTGGCAGATTCTTTTATAGAATTTTATTAATTATAATCAGACCTCAGTTGTCAGAGTACAAAATAATACACCATTAAATTTTAAAATCCTTTCCAAACAACACAAAGGGGAAGAGATAGAGGCCAAGGAAATGCACACCCTTCCACTTGCCCAAAGTCTGGTTGCCTTCAAATCTGGATTAATGAAGCTTTTTCAAGAAGTTTTCCCCAATTAATTCCCCCCAATTCTGTTCTCCTTTAAATTATTGCAACATATGTAGTCATACAAAATGGTTTAACATGAATCTGCACTTGTTTAGAAACTGTTCCACAAGCATCTGAAGTTTGTAAGTTCAGTCTTTAAAACTAGAATGTAGTTAGGAACCATACCTTGCATTTCTTCTGTTTGTCTCCCATCCGAGTTTGGATACTCTGGATATAGGAGGAGCTGAAAATTGTTGGCTAAAATGTAATCTTAAGGAAACACTTTATATGTCATACCAAGTGATGGTTCTCAGTATTGTATACTGTAATTCAGAGATTCTGTCAGATGAGTGCAAGTATTACCGTGCTGTAACCATCCAGAGTCCCAGGGTCACGTTGGCAGCCAAAAGTACACTGCCACCAAGCAAGATGAAAAATCCTATCAGATCTTTGACATCATTGTCTCCAATCACCGAGGTAAGGGTAGCATCCAGGAAAGAGTTTAAAATCCACTGTCCATCCAGAGCAAAGCAGGGCACTGCATTAACAATAGCCAGAGCTCCTGAGAGGGAAATCAGGTACCTGGTTAAACTCAGTTAAGGAACCAACTGTGAGGTCTGAGTGGAAACCACATTTCCAGGAGTCAGAAGATATTTTACTAGGACTGGATTTGAGATTACAGTTGACTTCCCTTCTTTCTTGGAATCTCTGCCCACCAGTACAGGCCATTCCTTCTTAGATCGCTAATACTTAAAACAAATTATTTACATTATTTCAAAGTTCAAAAACCTGGACTGAAAAATAAAGGCCAACCATTTGTAAAGTAAGGCAGTCTACAATGAACTCCTAGGAATACTATTGGGTTGTTGGAAAAGTCATGACACATTTTTGCAACCAAAAACAGAAAAAAATACATCATGACTTTTCCGACAACCCAATAAGTCTTTCTAATTATTTAATGCTACAACAAGGAAAGGAATGTGGAAGGAATAAGAAATAAGAGAAAATTATTTTTTGGTCCTTACAAAGTGTTACCTTATATTAGGAAACAGAATGATTTGGGCCCCTTGAACTCTCTTTTACCATCATCTTAAGATTATAGTGTAAATCTCTGAGACAAAGCTGCAATCTACAACATAGTCCTGATTGTATCCACTTTTAGTAATTGCTCGCTTGTTTTCCATTTCATTTTTTTGCAAATCATTGAGGAAAGAAATTAAAGATTTAAAAGTGACAAAAATAAAGAGCCCATCCAAACTAAACTGTTCAGTTTATTCAAATTCTACATAATCTTTTTTAAAAAAAATGTCATCTTGTATATGCAAACATATGTTAAAGAACACAAGATACTGTCCTCTGAATTGCTATTTTAGGAGTGGAAACCAGTTTGATCCCCCTCATGCATTCCTCCATTTGCTCAGAGCTAACAGGCTCAGAAGGGGCAGAATTCATCACCTCACTAGTAATTAAAGTTTTCATCCTTTATAAACTTATTAAAAGGTTTTAGACCTGTAAATGCAATTCTCAATTTGTATTTTGGGTTCCTTCCCTTCTGTATCTTAACCTTTCCCCTCCCTGATCAATTTCTCTCCTTTACCTTCGTCCTTCCTAGGTACAATCTGATCTTTTTCAACTTTAAAGTCTCTTTTTTTCAGTTGTTAGCAATTACTTGATAGATGTAAGGTCTATGCATGCTCTATTCAAGGTAAGACTGATCAAGTTCCAAATAACACACTTTTAAAACATTTTTCACACCAGAAAGGATACTTGACAAATGTTTCCACAATCACAGGCAGATCTATGCTTAGGAAGTTAAAACGTGGGATAAAACTCGTGATGCTCACTAAAAAAGAAAAATAAGGAATAATGAATATTATTCATACAGATAAATAACAGCATTATGAATTTTAGCATATGGTAAAAAATTTGGCTAGCCTATTAAGTTGGTTGAGAAAGCCTTTCCCAAACATATGTGGGCAGGATATGCCCCACATATAAAAACAATTGATTATTCTAGAACATCTATAACAGTGGAATACAGAAATTCATGTTCCGGTGTACTTAGGTTTTGAGGTGAGAATAAGATACAACGAACTATATACCAAGTATGAATACCAAATACAGAGACTGACTTAAAAATAAAGAATTTACATCAAAAGAGCCCTTACCCTTTCAAGGTATAATCTTAACATCACATTCATTCCAATTAGGCCACTTAACCCCTCTCTGTGGATTCCATACTCCTATTTTTATTCAAAACATTTAAAAACTTTCCTGTATTTAGGTAGAACCCACAGTACTCATTTCTGAATTACCCTAAAAGGGGACATTTCTTCATTTGTTGGTATGTTTAATATTTGTACTCTATAGAGTCACTTAGCTTGTCAAACTCAAAATTAAGAATAACCCAGGCTGTATCTCGGGATATGACTATGAAGCAATGGGACCCTTTTAAAGAGTGACATAAAACCCACATGTTCAACAACTGATGAATGAATAAAAAAAATGTGCTACATCCATACAATGGAATATTCAGCCATAAAAACAATGTACTGGAACATGTCACATGGATGAACCTTGAAAACATGCTAAGTGAAAGAAGCCAGACACAAAATATTCCATTCATATGAAATGTGAAGAACAGGCAAATTTATAGAAACAAAGTTGTTTAGTGGTTGCCAAAGGCTAGGGGGGTGTTGGGGAGAAACGAGGAGTGACTGCTTAATGGATATGGGGCTTCTTTTGGGGGTGAAAATATTCTGGAACTAGACTGTAGCGATGGTTGCACAACTCTGAATATATTAAAACCGATTGAATTGTATACTTTGAAGGGTGAATTGTACAGTATATGAATTGTATTTCAATAAGTTATTAAAAAAAGGAACATAAAAAAATCTCACATAACAAAATGAGTTACATGATATGATCTTCAGCCATATGGAGAAACTATATATTTAGCCCAATCATGTTGCTGCTAAAATAATCATGCTGCCTCGGTTTTGAAATGATATTCATGTAAAATTCATGTGTCATGCACAAATAATTTCAGTTATAATCCCTATGATTCCTGGCATTCTCTAAGGCATGCTGCTCTTGCCACTGTTTTGGGAGCTTGGATAAATTTAATAAACTCTGACGGAATATCTGAGGATTCATCTCTGTGACTAGGGAATAAATAGTGGACAAGGAAAACTGTATATTACTCTCCAAAGGCCGACATGGGATTTAGACCTTGCTTTATAAGTTCAGATTCTTTTCCTACTGCCTAAATTTTATCTAACGCTTAAGAACAACTCAAGAGGACTGAAAAGTGATCAAATTTATAATAAATAAAATGAATACAAGGATTTGTACTGAGCTCCTACCACTGAGAATATATGCCATCCTACTGATTTTTCCGAGGGTCTACCACAATAATACCCACCTGTGTAGTGAAGGTGCAGTGGATGTCCTACGTACAACATATCGATTTGAGGTGGGTGTTTCACTTTTATTAAGCGAGTATGAGTTTCCAAAGAAGGTATTATGCAGAAACTTGAACTTGAGCTCTTTTTACAATCTTTATTGGTTCTACAAACTTGGGTGGCTTCAACTGCTTTCCGGGCAGGTAGACATGTATGCTATGAATAAAATATTAATTAGTCAACACTAAAAATGATTTATTAACAAGAAAACACCAAGTTAGAGTCCTTCATTACCTTTCATGTCACCTAGCATATTAGGAAAGTTCACATAAAAGAAAGGCCATTTATGTGCACCTATTATAAGTGAGATTCAAGTATTCATTCCACTTTGGTCAAATAAGATATTACCACTATAAATTTTTAAGGATTCTTAGATGAAATGTGACATGTGAAATGCAGCGATTTTAATAAAATGATACAAAGCAAATGGGAAGTTTTCATAGATTCCATTTTAGTTCTACTGCTTATTTTATAATGATTTATAAATCAGACAAGCAAGACTGCTTGTAGGGACAACTTACCAAACGTTTATTAAAATTATTTCTGTAGGAAAAGCACACATCTGTGAGGCTTTGATTGTTACAGCATTCAGTTGAACCATCTAGCCGTTTGTATGCTAAAGAGAAATAGTTTATTAGACTCTGTTATATAGAAGTACATTTGTAATAAAAATTTTGCTTTCAAGACAAAAATGGTAAGTAAAATGCATATGAATTCAGAAACAACTGTATAATTCCAAGTTCAGCTTGATGGCTGCTCACTGCAGTTTGATTTTACATTATCAAGATATTATGTCCAATTTGAAATCAAGAAGCAGCACTTACCCTAGGTTAGCTGTCTTCATATAAACTTACCCACTCATAAAGCTGGAGCTCCAGAGTCTCAGTAGGTTTTGCAATAACTCCAGCTGGTCAAGCACAAATATTCAATGAGCCACTATTAGCTGTCCTAATGCCACTGATCCAGTATTGCTATTGAGCTCCTGCGCTGTGTTAGCAAACAATGAGCCAGAGGATGCCTAAGGAAATCCCTATTATATCAAATACCTATTTCACTTCAGGCTTACCTCGGGACTTTCCTCACACAACCAGAGCAGCCCAATTTGACCCCACAGGTGTGCACACATTTGCCTGCAGAGCAATAATCCAGTTACCATTTTTGAAACAGGACAACTGCTTATTCCCACTATTCATTTATTTTGCAAAGTTCTTCGGTAGACTGCTTCACTAATATCTGGGGCAGAATAAAGAAGCTAAATCACTGATACAGGTGGGACAAAAAATGATTTCCATGTATTTATTTTGGAAGGTTTCCTGCATTCAGCACATCAAACTTGTACAGCATAAATTGATGTATGGCAAGGACCAATTAAACTTAGAATCTTATATTCATACTACCATACTCAGATGTGCTGAGAAAGACACATTCAAGAGCAAATTTATTGCAGTACTACAAAAAAAAGAGAGTATGTTTTCCAGTACTACAAAAAGCTTTTCTATTACTAGAGTGTCTTTAGAAGCACTAGCATGAAAATGTTAGTTGATATGCAATGAGATTTTATAAGGATTTTTTTAAGTTGCTATGCAATGTGATTTTATTTCAGCCAGAGGTGTTTGTTTTTAAAGTTTTTTTTTTTAACTAGGTTATTTGAGGAAGACATCTTGTATTGGCCACAAGGGATCTCACCTAGCCACTGTTGCTCTCTCCTTGGCTAACACAAAGTGAAGAACAAAACAGACGTGAAGCAAACTAACCAATGCATCAATTTCCCCTGTGCATTGGTGGGCTATATGTGTAGTTTTCTTATCAAAACAACAGGTATTTAAATTTTGAGTAACAAGTCATATTGAAAATATGAAAGCAAACTGTGAATATCTAATGGCACTGACAAACCTGTGAGTATAATCACTCGCCCACTCTAATGATAAAGTATACGGTAAAAAGTTGAGAATTAAAAAAAAAATCCACCCGGGCTAAAACCCTCAGTGTTCTCTTTGATCACTTGCTATGTCCCAGCAATATTTACCTCCTCGTAGTTTTTCTCCTTACCTATTCCCACTTGAGTACAGACTCTAATTCCTTCTCACATGGCCCATCTGGACAAAGTCCTAATGGGTTTGTTTGCTCACCACCTAGCTGGCACAGCAAACCTGTCCCACATACCAAATGCTTCAGAGTAACCTGCCAATGTACAACTATGAGAATATAACTCTGCTAATCCAACATTTCCAAAGATCTGCACTGCTCCCAAATAAAGTCTAAATTTCATAGCCTAAAACTTAAAGGCTTATCACTTTTTACCACCTTATCATATACCGTCCTCCTGCTGAGCCAAATTACTAGCAGCTCCTTGAGCACCTTCTAAACTAGCAGCTCCTTGAGCACCTTCTAATCTATGGTGCCGAGGCTCATTCCTATCTTGGCCTCCTGAAATTAAACTCACTGTTGAAGACCAACTCAAGGGCTGCTGCTATGAAACCTGCCTCATCTTTTCAGACAAGACTGACTGCCATCAACTCCTACAACTCCCAATGTTTCTGGTCATTACTTATATTTAACCTTAGTCTGTAATGTGGGCATGGTCTGTTTCTATGACTAGACTGTGAGCTCCTTGAAGGAAAGGTTTCTCAGTATCTTATACAAGGTGGAGGACTTAATATACACGGAAGGCTTAAATGAGGGTCTGTACCACTTGCCTTTGTATTCATAATTAGTTTTAAAATCTACATCTGATGCTTGATCACTAACTTTTCTTGGAGGATTGCATACAATACAGAAAGAAAGTCAAGAATTTGTTTATCACTGCATGTCTGGTGACACAAATGCTTAAAGAGGCCAAGCAGTACCAAATAAATGAAGTGGATAGTGTGTTTGGAAAAACTAGGAAGTGTTGGGGACTGTGATGAATTAGAAAATATATCTCCTGTTCTAAGGGGTTAGCAGCCAGGCCACTCAACTTGGGGTCCAGATTTGACACATCGCCCGTTTTGTTCCAAGAGAAATCAGAAATCTGGACCTTCATGTGAAATCTCTTGAATTTTAAATATTGGCAGCTAATTAAAATGTTAAAAGTTTTACAGTACAAGCCAAACCAAATACATCTGCTAAGGCTGGATTTGACCTTAGGCGACCACCAATTTTCAACCTCTGGGTAATGGCTTCTTTCTATGATGAGAATTCCAACCAAAACACAAATCCATGGCTGTGGCCGTCCTGACAAGATTAAGTGCCTCCTGACACACAGAATTTTCCAATACAAAGTTAAATATTCTGTTACCATGTGAGAAGTAAACGTGATATTTCTGTTTATCAATTTTTAAAAAGTTGTAGGTTTAAAAATATTTTATTTTAGGATCTTTTCTACTGGGTCACATTCAAGAACAAGTTGCTGAACCAATTTCTGTGACTCAATTCTTAACCTATAAGATGAGGATGCCATAGACAATTTTCACATTTGTGTACTTCTATCAAGCATGAGAGGCCAATCCAATTCTACTAGGGAAGAATTCCAGACTGCAATGGGAGGTCCCAGAGGCATTCATGGGTTCAATTTCACTCGAGTTAAACTGAAGGTTAAAATTGTCCCTTAAGGGGGGCCAGCCGAGTGGCGCGATGGTTAAGAACTGGCTTGGGACATCAGAGGGCCCCGGTTCGGATCCCACATATGAGGGCCAGTGACACTGCCCTCCACAGCTAAGATGCTGAACAACAGCTCAACCTGGAGCTGGGCTGCCGTGAGTCGCCAGCGATGGTGTAGGCTGTAGCCCCTGTGGCAGTGGATTGCCATGGGCTACCGTGTGTAGCCAGCAGCCAGCGTGAGCGGCCAGCAGCGGCAGTGAGCGGCCGTCCAGAAGCCGGCGACTGATCTGCCTCGCCCGGGAAGAGCGCAATGATGGTGCCAACTTGGGCCAGTGAAGCAACATCCTCCACAACTAGACTGAAGAACAAAATGACAGCAACTTGTCTGTTCCCTTTCCCCCAATTCCCCAGCACTGTTCCCATCCCCCCAATTCCCCAATAAAAATCTTTAAAAAAAATTGTCCCTTAAATCTCCCTGGTATGGGAGACAATTAAATTTAAGACCAGATCAGTTCCATGATTCCACTACAGGGAGAACCTGCAGAGTCTGAAGGTGCCCAAGATGGGACTTACGATAGTCATAGAAATAGTCTAGTCTTCAAAGGGTGGTCTATACCAGAGGTGATTTTGGAATAAGGCTGGAAAGAAGAGACTTTTTCAATCTATAGTTCATAGTCCCCACTACTTTTTATATCACTAAAATGAACTGAACAATTTCCTTACCCTAGCTTATTAAATATATAAATGTAGTTAGAGCTCCTACACAGGGAGGCAAGCCTATTTATTTTTAGTTCTACAGGAGACTTTCTACCAGCATTGCCTAGTAAACAGCAGATTACAAGTAAAAATGATAAACTCTCTCTTCAATTTAGGATAGCAAAGAAACAAACTGTGGATTACAACTTGATGTTCACAATGGAAAAACAGACACCTTTTTCCCAAACGTTACCAAAAAATGTAGGCATAAAAACAATCAGGGCGTTCAAAATATGTGGAAAAGATTCCCTTTTATTATCTTCAAATAGGTTAGGAAAGGTATTTTCTCACTTTCACTAAAGCTATGTAAGGCAGGACAATATTCCTGTTGCCAGGCAGTTAGAGGCATATACCCTCACCTCTTTGGATTAGGAACATAGGCTGTCAAAGGGGAATGCCTGAGTCTGAGCTCATAGCTTCATTATGGGAGCAGTTGCCTTCAGTATTCAATCTCATGCTCCTTAAAATGTAGTTCAAATGCTAGACTTGCTGAGTACAGTCTTCATTACTCAAGATGATGCTTTCAGAAAAAAAAGAAATTTTGCTCTATGCATATATGAAATGGTATGAAATGAAGAACGTCCTCTCAAACTAAATAAAGAGGATGCTAGCTACTTGTTAGGAAAATAATCCCCCCAAAAGAGTCAGACTAGTTCTTGTGTGAAACTTTTGGTTCCATTCAAATAACTAAGTGGCATATGGACACCCAGCAATCCTAAAAGCGGAAGCTTGAAAATGAATGGGGTAAAGTTTTTGCTTTCTGTTCTGACCAGGAATGAGACCAGGGATCTCTTCTAGGTGTAAAGGGCTCCAGGCCCTTACCCAGTGTCCTTTTTGGGGCTTCCTGGAAAGGCCATTCAGTCTCCAAGGACTGTATGGGACAAGCTATTTAGGTTTGTCCCATGCACCAAGAGCAGACGTGGACTTAAATCAGCTTTGGCTTTCTTGGTGATATTCCTAGTTTAGCAGGTTAACGTTTAAAAATCAAAAAGGAAAAGATTAAGAGAAGAAAAAAAGCAGGTCCCAACAATTTCATAAAATGTGCAGTCATTTCATCTAGATTATCCACATTTTTCTAATTTGCCAAAAATCTGTTAATATTATAAGAACATCTAATCTGCTTAATACCTTAATTAATATATTAGGGACTATCTTTAAAAATTTAATACCACATCTTGGGGAGTCAGGGTATTGAAATAGGAGGCAGAAATGATTGGTTGGACAGCTTATGAGCGTTCCCAGAGTCAGATCTTTCCAAGGTGGCTTTATTGTTTTGAAGTG